GTGCACTTTCCATGTAGGCGCAACGCCAACTGTGTTTAAAGTGTCGGTTATGCGTAGTTGTAGCAGTGTAACATTCTTCACATAATGCCACAGGAACTGCCAGCGCTCGAGTGCTACAAGCGCTGAGAGTTTTTTGTGGCAATATGCGATGGAGGCGCCGCGAACCAGGTGAAACGCCGACAGTCTAGTCGAAACAAGCTAAGGCATCACAGTCATGACGAGGTAAGCCAGCCGCAGTGCACATGTCAGTCCTGCATGCGCACGAGCTCTGGCCGAGGGGTTAGCACGCTTGCCGGAAGAAAGCGAAGTTGTGGCTCGGGATATCGACTCACTCCGCGTTCGCTGTTTTAGGGATGAAGCTCCTTAAAGCGGCACCCGTTCGTCCCTCGTCGTAGTCGTAGTGTGTAACCAGTCTTACGTTTTGACCTGCGAGGTGCTGCCGGTGGGAGATTTATCCTGTGCGTTGTTGAACAATAAAAAATTCGCAGCGTGCGTGTTAACTAAAAGCCGAATTCTCCTGTCTCTCATTCCCCATTAGCAGCCATTGGCATGTACATTGAGCACTATCTGACAAGAAAGGGTTGCTACGTTATACTCGCTGGGCGTAACCTCCTTGGTTTTAGAAAGGTTTGACCCACCGCGGTGGTCTAGTGGCTAAGGTGCTCGGCTGCTGACCCGCAGGTCGCGGGATCGAATCCCGGCTGCGGCGGCTGCATTTCCGATGGAGGCGGAAATGTTGTATGCCCGTGGGCTCAGATTTGAGTGCACGTTAAAAAAAAACCAGGTGGTCGAAATTTCCGGAGCCCTCCACTACGGCGTCGCTCATAATCATATGGTGGTTTTGGGACGTTAAACCCCACAAATAAATCAATCAATTTAGAAAGGTTTAGCGAACGTTCAGCCGCAGTGCCATGAATACAGTGAACTAGTATATACCATGGACCCGAGGTGGTTAAAGGTGGGAAGTAGATACGAAGCTCAAGCCGTAAGAAAGTAGTAGTAGTAGTAGACTTTTAAGAAAGTAAAAGCAGAATTCTCCTGTCTCTCATTCCCCATCATGCCTTGGCATGTACATTGAGCAATATCTGACAAGAAAGGGTTGCTACGTTATAGTCGCTGGGCGTAACCTCCTTGGTTTTAGAAAGGTTTAGCGAGCGTTAGGCCGCAGTGCCATGAATACAGTGTACTAGTATATACCATGAAGTTGAGGTGGTTAAAGGAGGGAAGTAGACACGAAGCGCAAGCCGTAAGAAAGTGTGCGTGTCCCAGCTCTCGTTTAGTCCTTGGAATGTCCGCTGGATGACGGTGCTTCTATATGGGGAATATATGATGAAAAGATGCGAGATGGTGGTACTTGGAGTGTTGAATATATGGAAGAATGGACACAGAGACAGATGCATGGACGGATGGACGCATGGACGGACGCAGGGGCGGATGCATGAACGAACACAGGGACGGAAGCACAGGTGGACGTTCTGACGCACGAACAGACGCACGCACGGACGGGCGGATTAACGCACGGACGGTCACACAGACGGACGCATGGATGGACGGAAGCAAGAACGAATGGACGGACGGATGCTTCGTCCCACTCTCCATCATTCACTCCGTGGATATGCTGCCATTTTTTTCGTCCTCTATTCGTTCCATTTTTTTCGTCCTCGTTCGCTCTATTGATAACAAAGATGGCGACGTCTTTCAACGCAGGAACGCATGCCTGAAAGCTGTGCTCCGAAATGTAATTGTTTTAGCGACCGCCCGTTGGAAGTTCCGTGCTTGTAGCCGGCTCCTCCCCTGTGCATATCGCTCTTGGCATCGAGTGGCATACCATGCATATACGGCGGTCGCAACACTTTCCAGACTAGGTGGTGTTGCATCACTATGACGACAATCCATCAGGCTCAGGCTACTCCCCACCCCCTTTTCTCTGAACATCAAGTCCCCTCTTCTCGAGGTATTTGTATCTATCTGCCTTTACTCTCGCTAGCTCACTCAACTGACTCAGGTGCCCTTCTTCCGCCTACCGGGGAGGCTGTTTTTTTTCTTCTTTTTTCAATAGAGTATATGTGTTCATTGCACCCGATGCGTGAAGAGGTATTTGTTATCATTCTCGCAATAGCTTTTCAATTTGTGCCCGAATCACGGTAGACGAGAGTTCTTGCTCGAAATCTACATTGGGATGCGGTAGCCGCTGCCAGGAGCCGAACTCACGACAGTGTTGCCCGCACCAAGCTGTCGCTTGACAGTCAGGTACTAGTGTGGATTCACGGGCTGTGGTGTCGGTAAATGACTTCTTTTCACGCCTCTGCCAACGCCCATGCTTATATCTACCCACAACTTGCAGAGCGGTGCAATAAAATAAAACGACCGTAATTTCCTGTCTAACTTACTTGTTTTCTTATTACTTATTAACTCTTGAAAGTCCACCCAGTTTAGTCTGGTAGTTCTGCGCTCATCACATACGCCGAATGGATGCGAGAACGTTGGCTGTTAGATTTCCATGTCCTTTGCGATGATCTCGACAAAGTGTAAAAGCGAACTTATTCAACAGCGTATATTTTGCACTCAAACGGCTCAGTGTGTTACTGCTGAGAATTCATCACTACACTCTCAGAGTCGCTTCTTTTAATGCCCACGCTGCGGCGGAATAGTTATTTTGCTCGGCTGCTGATCAAAGAGAAGTGGGTTTGATTTCAGCCGCGGCGCGGTTTCATTTAGTAGGAGGAGAGATGCTAGAGACTTGAGTACTGCGCTATGTCAGTGCACGCAAAAGAACATAATACGTTCAAAATAACCCGGTGTCTCGAAAACGTGGCCTGCGGGCCGCATGTGGCCCGTGATCCTACTCGCTTGTGGCGCGCGGCTCGCGCGTGACTGTCTTAAACCCCTATGCTTTTATTTTGTTAATAAGTATGTTTGTGAGCTATACACGCATGGCTGGTCTAAAGCACATTTCTCGTGAGGCACCCTATGGTCACTACATGTTGAAACAATACAGTGATTGATTGATATGTGGGGTTTAACGTCCCAAAACCGCCATATGATTATGAGAGACGCCGTAGTGGAGGGCTCCGGAAATTTCGACCACCTGGGGCTCTTTAACGTGCACACAAATCTGAGCACACGGGCCTGAGACATTTCTGCCTCCAACGGAAATGCAGCCGCCGCAGCCGGGATGCGAACCCGCGACCTGGGGGTCAGCAGCCGAGTACCATAGCCCCTAGACCACCGTGGCGGGCAACAATACAGTGAAACAAAAATTATATTTCAGAATAAGCATCCAGATTTTAGCAATTTCGGAGATAGGTATCGAAGTACAGTTGGAATACAGGCACCAAGTCTACTTCATAAGTGGCCTGTATATGAGACATGAGAAAGGTTCGCTTTTCAAACCTTGAAATGGCAACGTTCGCTGACAATCTATCGACCCTCCCCCCTCCCCCCCTTCTGTTACCTTTTTCATCACCCCGGGCCGCGTGGGACTAAATCACGTCACTGCAGTCCGTTGGCCGAGGCGAGATTGAGATCTCTGCACCATACAGAGTCACTCCTAGCCTGAATCGATTTGGTACGTTGAAGCCGATAAACTAAGCCAGGTAAAACCAATCTTTTTGCACTTATGTCATACGTACACGTCGTTACAACGAAGTCCGATTTTGTTTTTGGTGAAATGGTGTACCGACACACGTGCACCTATAAATGGCAGGTGTCTATATATAGTCAGCTTATATTAAAGTAGTAGCTCGATCTCTCACTGTGACGCACGTTCATAACAGCGGCTGACCCCATATTTGCTTCCTTTTACTGACCACCCAGCGTGACTGAGGGACAGCAAATGTGCGCGAACAGGCAGTCTCGTACGTACAACTGACACGACTGCGGAAACAGTGAGAACTGGCCGAATACCAAAATTTAATTACCGGACTTTCAGGAAAGACCATCGTAAGCTGTGTTGCACGTATGAGTTTTCAGTTGTACACACGTACACACACACAAAAGCGAAAACAACGCCTGTCGTTCTAACTTCTCTCACACCGAAATACACGGCAGCTACTGCATAGTTAGAATGTTAGAAGATACGGGCTTACCCGCTTGCGAGTCTGGTGGCGGCAACATCAGCAAGACAATAAGGTGTTGCACTTCGCCTGCTCGTGGTTGCATCGTTGTACCACTAATCCAATTCGACAAAAAGCTGTATACCAGTCCAAGTATAGTGCAGCCGAATGAACACCTAGTAATCTCATGCTCACCGCTCGCGTAAGTCGGCTGGATTGAAGTCCCACTTATGTGGAGCGTCGTTAGAGCGCGCCACCACGTTACAGATTCAGCTCACACGTCTCGCTTCATTCTAAAGCTTAGCAGAATACGAGACACCGGGAAACCGGCCAACCCCTCGTGTCGCAACAGCGACGGAGACAATGAGCGGCGTACGTACGCGCATTATCGGTGTGTGAGGACTGATCGGCTGGGTTTTGTCGCTATCGGCAGAGCAGATCCGGGGGGCTGCCCCTTACGTCACTCTGAAGAAACTTGGCCGACCTCCGTGCTCCTCTCATTTCGTCCTAATAGCCATCCCTGTGTCACAACTTCGGAGACGTCCATTCAAACGCCATATGCTGCGTTTGCACGTCGTAGCGTTAGAAGTGCAACGAGGAAAATCCCTTCGCGTCGTTTGCTCGCTGATAGTGCTCGCTACGACAACGTCCGGCTTCTTGTATACTTGGCACCGATACCGATGTGAAAACACGCCGCGTATTTTTTCGCCGAGAGGAGTGGACGCGACCTGCAGCTGCCAAGAGGTGAACCGGCTTTGCCGCACGTGCCGAAACGGACCCTTGTTGTTACCCTTGTCACTTGGTGAAATCCACATAGAGCGCCTCATTTCACCTATATTTTCCAGTGTCGGCAGCCATCGGACACACCGAAGAAGACCTGTGATTGTGGTGGGCTGACCTCGTTGCCAAAGTTTGGACAGCAGGTGGGATTGCTGCGATCCATAAGAGCTCCTTACAGTGCAAGTTTCGTCCTGTGTGTGAATCGGGTGTTTTCTCTGTATTTGGAACTCACGTGTCACGCCAGCGATGGACGGCACGCCCAAGTTCGGAGGGGTCGACTACGCCGTGTTAGCAGCGATGTTGTCCGTGTCGTCGGGCATCGGACTGTTCTTCGCGTGGCGTGACCGACGCGATCAGTCGAACCAGTCGTTCCTGTTGGGCAACCGGCAGCTGGGCCTCGTGCCCGTCTCGCTGTCCATGATGGCCAGCCTACAGTCGGCGACAACGGTGCTCGGATACCCCTCCGAGATGTACTACAGGGGCACGCAGTTCTGGGTAGCCATCTTCGGACTGGCCATCTCCAACATCATAGCGGCCGAGGTCTTTCTCCCCGTGTTCTACAGGCTCAAGCTGACCAGCGTCAACTCGGTCAGTGACCGTTGTCCGGTTCTCTCTATTTCTTCGTCTGTGTTCTTATCGGTCACGATTAGAGAGCTCGTCGAACTGCGCATCGGCTGCCTTTACCGTGCCGCTGATAATATTTGCCTTGTGTCATGTTTTATCAGGCGGAACTATCAGCCGAGAGGTGTGTGTGCGTTGGGGTTGGGGGGGACGCAGATCGTGCATACCTTACAAATATTGTGGCAGTATGTGCCGAGAATCTGACGTGGCCTTTGATAGATATGTAAGGTTTAACGTCCCAAAACCATCATTGATTATGAGAGACGCCGTAGTTGAGGGCTACGGAAATTTTGACAACCTGGGGTTCTTTCACGTGCACCAAAATCTGAGCACACGGGACTACAACATTTCCGCCTCCATCGGAAATGCAGCCGCCGTAGCCGGGATTTGATTCCGTGAGCTGCGGGTCATCAGCCGAGTACCTTAGCCACTAGACCACCGCGGCGGGGCAACTCTGACGGGGCCTCCCAATACTGGAAGAAACGTTTCCTGGCAAGGTCCTGAATTCATTAGATTGTCACATGAATTACAGTAAGCTGCGTTAAGCCTCGGTATTGGCATCGCTTAAAGACCCGTACACGGACACTACATGGCCTACAACAAAGCGTCAAATGCGCTCTTCCAAATCTTGCAGACAAGAATAACTTTTCCATGATATACCTTGTGATATCTGTAAATTGGGCACATGTTTCTGTTCGGCGAATGAATATTTAGATCTATATTGTTCCAATAGGTTGCGAGGTCACTCTTCTAACCAAAATATATCGTTCTACTCAAAGTTTAAGCTCAGCGCGACGATCCAGCTGTCTTTTTAAATACCCGTTTGCGTATTTTTCGTAATTAGTGGCTAAGTCTTCAGGTTCAACGAACCCAAGGGTGACGTGCGTCGCTATGGCTAAACATTGGTTTCACGCTGTTATTCCGATGCCTAAAAGCGCACATCTGCTTGGTGAGGCTTTGTGCGCAGAACTCCGCGTCCAATCGCACGCAGACTTTGTGTGCCTAATATGGCATATATGCCTAATATGCCATATTAGGCCCAGATTGTTTGCCACATATAAAAATCGTTCTAGAAACGTGTATTGCAGCCCCTTAAAAAGTCAGGTTTGTGTAAGCATCTTCGCAAGCATACAGTGATCATCATTTACGTTACCGTCGCCCTGATTGGAGGTGAGCCAGCTGATGTTTATCGGTGCCTAAGGCTTTCTTGGCATGGTGCAATATAATCTGAACCAGTCTAAGCCCTTCACCAGGAAACCGATATATCCGTTACGGTAGGCCTGAGGCGACGACGTTGCGAAAGTGAACTCAATGTCGGCGGGTTCTATAGCAGCTGCGTTTCCGCGAGAGGTGAAAGGCCAGGGTATAAATTTATTCACTTCTTAAAAACACATAGCGGGGACAAAATTTATTGTCTTCTTAGTTAGGGCGAGCCTCATAATCACGTTATGGCGTCTGCACGAAAAAAAAATGAAATAAATAGACTTGGAAATTTATTTCTTCGAGAAAGTGTGTTTTTTTCTTTTACTTGCTCAGGAGTTACTATCATTGTAGCATGTTTCGAGTTTATTCACTCTATCACATACGGTTCTCCACTGGCGCAAAAAAAGGGCTGCTTATACAGGCGACAATACTGTACGTGCAAGTTGTTTCGAAGGTTTAAGTGCCGTTCTATATTTACATATCTCACTGTGTGTGCGTGTGTGTGTGTGCGTGTGTGTGTGTGTGTGTGTGTGTGTGTGTGTGTGTGTGTGTGTGTGTGTGTGTGTGTGGAGAGATAAGTTTTACACCGCATTACCCGTACGAAAATTACGAATTCAATTACAGCCGTCGATTCCGACGATGTCCGTTTAACGCCCGCTGAAAGCTTAATAATACAACCCCTATTTATTTAAGAAAGAAAAAAAAACAATCTGCACAGCACAATGTTGCTATATCGCTAAGAATTGGCTCTAACAAGCCGCAATGCTATCTTTCGCACTGCTTTATCGGATATTGCCTTCTTATTTTTCATGTTGGGAGTACTTCTTTTATTTTTCATGTTCACCCTCGTTGAATTTGCTGATATATTTTTTTCTAAATGGTTACCGTAGCTAATGCAGCAATATATGTGAAGCGCAAGATGCTTGAATATATATATTCAAGAAGAAGATATACCCAGGCGCATCTTGTGCTTCACACACACACACACACACACACACACACACACACACACACACACACACACACACACACACACACATATATATATATATATATATATATATATATATATATATATATATATATATATATATATATATATATATATGATGATTTGTGGGGTTTAACGTCCCAAAACCACCATATGATTATGAGAGACGCCGTAGTGGAGGGCTCCGGAAATTTCGACCACCTGGGGTTCTTTAACGTGCACCCAAATCTGAGCACACGGGCCTACAACATTTCCGCCTCCATCGGAAATGCAGCCGCCGCAGCCGGGAATCGTACCCGCGACCTGCGGGTCAGCAGCCGAGTACCTTAGCCACTAGACCACCGCGGCGGGGCGATATATATATATATATATATATATATATATATATATATATATATATATATATATATATATCAGTTACTCTACCAGTTTAGAGTAAGAATAAAATCCAGAAACCATAAAGACTGATGAAGTCGGATGGTGTTGACGAAAAATCCGCAATACACTCTCCATGGGCATGAAGAGGTGAAAAAGAGGGGAACGCACTGCTCCCCCCTCTGCCCTGGAATTGCTATTTAGTCACAGTATGCCCCGTCCCCCCCTTCACCCCCGCCCTTTTTTTTATAGCACCCATAAGCTGTACAGTTCGATTGAACGACCTTCAGGATCACCAACTAACTTTGCACGTTGCGTACTGATGACTAATTTTGCCGGTCATTTTGCAGCATTGAACGATGGGCGCCCCAGCATGGCAATAGCGCCCTCCCCCTGTGAAGGCACCCTTCTATAAATAGTTCCGGAATGGCCTTGGCATGCTCCGATTCATTCAAGAACCAAAGAGTACCCGGCGTCTCATACGTACACAAACATTTATCATGGCAATTATGACTTTAATTACGTTGATTGCTTGCTTGTTCAAAGTGTTTCTTTCTCAGAGTTCACGCGAATGAAAGAGAAATTGCGTAGTGTGTAAGGGTGAAAGGAGTGCCCCACACAACGGTAAATCCGTAACCAGTCATATCTACGAATTCTGCAGCATGGTGTATTTACCACGATGTAGGATCTTACGCCGTGGTATATCGCCGGAAATGCGAGCATTGTGATGTGATGGCTGCAGGTTTTCTTTCAACGTGGCTACAGTATACACTGCAGTATGGGACATAACCAACACTTACTGTCGCACCTTGTGTTCGCAGTATTTGGAAAGGAGGTTCAACTCGACCGCTGTGCGGCTCCTCGGTTCGCTGTCATTCATCGTCAACACGGTAAGCGCTCATGTGCATTGCTCGTAAATGTGTTATGTTTGTGTTCTTAGCAAATTGCTGTAAAATACTGCTATAGTAAATGTTGGGGCTTAACGTCCCATAGAAGCCCGACATGCATGATTATCAGGGGCGCCGTAGTGGAGGGGATTCCGGGAATTTCGACACCTTAGTGTTCTTTAACGTGTACCTTCATCTAAATGCACAGGGCTGTAACATTTTCGCCTTCGTCGAAAATGCGGCCGCCGCTGCCGGGTTTCAATCCCGCGATCTTCGGGTCTGCTGTCGAGTGCCATACCCACTAGTGCACCGTGTCTGGCGCAAATGTTTGTACGGGTTTGTGCTTAATTTACGCATGTTTATTAGTATGCATTTAGTTAAATATTTTATGCTTACCACGACTTGCTAACGTAAGCGATTGAACGTTAAAGAACCCCAGGTGGTCAAAATTTTTGGAGCCCTCTACTACACAGCGTGCCTTAAAGTCACATCGTGGTTTTAAGATGTAAAATCCCGGAAGTTATTGACGCGAGCGCGTTTGTGTAAGTGAAAAGTTTCGTGCACCATTTTCGCAAGTATTGTAGAGCTAAGTGGACACTAACAATAGTAATCGCCTAAGGTAATAGTTAGCTGCTCGCCGGCAATTGAAGAAAAAAACGTGGTATTTGGCGTATAATGCTTGGAGTATGAAAATGGTGCATGTTTTGCACGGGAGATAAAGAAGAAAAACTTATTGAAAGACGGCTTGCGATGTCACATCAGCTTGCCGGGCCGTTTTTCGAAAATCGTGCGCAGCTTGCTGAGAACTTTTTACGTTTGAAAGCTAGAAATGCGCTACAACGTGTCGGAGTCACTTAATTCCTTCATTACAATAGTTGTATTTCAGAAATAGCTAAAAATATTCAGCAGATCCCGTATCTTGGGAATCGGCGATAGGCGACGCATGCGGAGGGAAAGTGACCATGTTGTTGTTGTTGTTTTTCTTACTGAGTGACAATTCATGAAATGACGCTAAATGTAAGTACAAATGTTGCACACACAGACATATGTTGAACAGTCGCTAATGTTTATAATAAAACTAGTTGTTTGAACTTGCGAAATGATGCCAACAGAAACATGAGTATTTGAAACACCACGAGCGAGAAGCTGGTATGAAGCGCTAGTGCTCCCGAAGATAGTAGCCCTGGACATTGCTACATAAGTGAACTTCAGCCGATGGCACCTAACTACGATCGACGTCAACCCGACGTAACTGCTTCATAAAAGGGGTACATATGTGATAAACTGAATAGCCAGCACTGCAGCCACAATTGACGTTTCACGAACATTATATGGGTCTACTTGAAAAGTATTTCTGAGACCTAGCATGGGTTTGTAAAACAGTACTTGATCGCCACGCAGAGTGCTGGGGTTCGATTCCTGTTGGGACGCTGACATTTTCTCTTTGCATTCGTCGGGTCAACGCTGTTGATAGCAGCTTCTTTTCTTAACGCTAACGCGTTAGAATCTGGTTCTCACCCTTCCTGGGCTAAGTTTCATTTACCTGAGGAGCATATCCGCATACCAGTGGCACATACCCGCCCGCGGGTAAGTGCCACTGTCTGGCGGAAAGCTTTTGACGACATACGCAATGGGATTGTGACATTATTCATGTATTGACAAGCATGTCATATTCGTCAAAGCATATACTCTGCCATACTAATCATGGTTCCCGCCAAGTTAAGGGGTGATCACGCAATCACCCAGACATAAGCGGATAGATAGATAGATAGATAGATAGATAGATAGATAGATAGATAGATAGATAGATAGATAGATAAGATAGATAGATAGATAGATAGATAGATAGATAGATAGATAGATAGATAGATAGATAGATAGATAGATAGATAGATAGATAGATAGATAGATAGATAGATAGATAGATAGATAGATAGATAGATAGATAGATAGATAGATAGATAGATAGATAGATAGATAGATAGATAGATAGATAGATAGACGCCAAATGTGCTTGCAGTACGCAAAGAAATGCTTCGCATTTAATGATGAACCTATCGAGTTGTAAGTTGTCTTATAGTCAACTAATACTGCCAGACAACAAGAAGAAAAAACTGTTGCTAGACATGATTCACGTAAACAGCACATATTATCACTCGAATTCAGAAAATATTTAAAACGAAAACTGCCTCATTTGTTCTAACCATCACCATGTCTAGCGAAATCAGCGAAAATTGGGTACAGAAAGGATACATTGTCAATATCATCTGTGCAACTGCCTCGACATGCAGCCCACAGGACGTGTCTGGGTATCGAACATCAGCTTGCACAATTACACACATTACAGATATGCAGAATTACACATTGTGCGATGCACATACCGACGCCTACGGCTGGTGCGTGGTCACGCGATCAATGTTCTGCGGAAACGAGTAGGGTGTATTATCAGTGCTCACTGCGCCACATGATGAGTGCGGCGATGCTGCGGTTGCACATCGGGTGTAGTGGTGAAGTGCGCAGCAGAAACAAGGCACTTAGAACAAGGACGTAAGGAGACATAAGAAGTGGTTGCGTCCTGTAGGTCCATTCTTCCTTATGTCCTTCTTCCTGGTTCGCTTCACCTCACTACGGGACCGTAGCACTGATAGTCGCATTTCGCAATAAGAATAGCGGCTAAAGAAACATGTACAGTTTCCGAAGTTTGTTTGTTTACATTTTTTGTTTTCTTTGGTGGCAACTTCTGTCTCAGTTCTCTAGATGCTGTATATGGGAGTAGTGCTGTATGGACCATCGTTGGCCTTGGAGTCAGGTGAGCTTTCGCCTTTACTATTACTATTTACTAGTACTTTTTCCGAGCATCGTAGAACACGTAATAGATGCGCAGATATTAAGCGCATTTATTTTTTACTCAAGGAGCACTCCTACAGCCAGCCGGCTTGGTACTGAAGATGAATGTTTGGAATTCGTTGTAATAAAGCAGATTTGTTTGTTAATAGAACAATCGCCAGGTTTTGTACATTGGACACTGACAAGCTCAGTGTGTAGCCTTCAGCCATTATCGATGCAGTCTGCAAAGTACCGAAGCCGCCTAAATATTTGGTGGATACGTTAAAACGGTGTTCATAAAATGCATGTGGCACAATGGATATGAGCAGTCTCACTGTATCTAACGAGGTAAAATGATGTTGGCGAATTCCTGTGCGAGCACAATCTTGGGAGTGAGACCAAATAATGTGAGTGTATATAATGTATGATGTATAGCATGTACAAGTGTCTGGCGCGAGCGTGCAACACAATGTTTTAATCTATTAACGATAAAATTTCGCTTTTTTTGTGTGTTTCCTCAAGTGACTGGGCTTCCTGTGTGGTCGTCAATCATGGTTATCGGTTTGATCTGCACATTGTACACTTCGCTGGTAAGAGATTTTTCAGTATATGTGCTGCGCTATGAGATAAAAAAAAATACTGGAACGAGAGCATAGACACACACCCATCCAAATATCACTTGGTTCTTCCTGTTGAAAAGAGATATATCACACACTTGCATGTACTTCGAGCATTTCACGTGTATTATTTGTTTGGTGGTGCCACTGAGGCGTCTCTCCTAATCATATGGTGGTTTGGGGACGTTAAACCCTACAAATAAATCAATCACGTTTGGTGGTTATCGTTGGCGTGACATTCGTGTGAGGTAAAAAAAGACAAAAATAAATAAAAAGGACTTGTTGGCAAAATATAGTCGGCAGGTATACCCACAAGTGCATGCACGCAAATCTGTGTAGTTATGTAACTGCCGTAAACCACTCCACATTTTTCGTGATCTGCCTTTCCAAAAAGTTTTGCATAGTCTGTTACACATATACAATATTCGTCACATAAGTTTAGAACACGTATAGAGTTCACGTTTTAGAGAATGACCATGCTTTGAAATAAATTTATGCACTTTTCTGAAAGTAACCTTCATGGATCCTTGTGTGAAAGCATCCAGGTAACAGCAATACGTTTAGTACATTGTGGGCTCCGGGTGTGTAGCCATTAGGGCCATCTTATCATCGATTACTTTACAATATATAACGGGCTTTGCTTATATGCACGTTATGGACCACTGATAAAGAATTTTGTGCCTTTCGGACCATTAGTAATTGTCTGTGTGTGCTGTGAGTGACGTTAGCCGCGCTGTCTGCGTAGGGTGGCATGAAGGCTGTGGTGTGGACGGACACCTTCCAGATGACGGTCATGCTGCTAGGCATGCTAGGCGTCGTCATGTGGGTGAGTGCTGCCGGAGTCTTATTTAGAAAAGTGCACATACCGCGCCGTGATAATGTATGTAGGTACTTAGCAGCTATAGTTGAGCTGTGCAACTTGGAGCTCTCGTTGCACGAAATGGATGGGAATGGTACTTTGATGTGAACCTCGTATAAGATTCGATCTTCTATTGGTGCAGGAGACTCATACTCACATTCGTGAAAAATTTCGCTGAAACTAAATTGAAAAAAAAATGAAAGAAAGAAACTTGCGCAAAAATGTGTGCGCACGGGGTGGTGCCCGAACGAATGGTACGCACGACACCCTATTGTCTTAAATCCCCAGCCAAGATTTTCTCGGTGCCGAGTGCGTATTTGGTCGAACGTTCAGTCGTAGAAATGACGGTTGTAATACACGCAAACGCAATTAACGAGCAGGAAACTAACGATCGCGCACTCGACAGTCGGTTCACTTCGAAACTCATCAAACATCGTCGACTGAAGTGTCGTTCAAAGCTGTATTGACATTTAAAAGCCAGTACTATACTCTTTCGGCCTTGGACGTTCGATATATAGATTTTTCTAAATGGTAGTGCCGAGGAAGCAGATCTTACGTAGTATATGATTACCGTAAATGTGGGTTCTTACACATGCGACGACAGATAAGGACCTCCAACGTGAATTTATCTACACGTTCATGTGCCGGATGCCACCACGTTCAGAACTAATAATTGCCGCGGATGCACCGATACATCTGCCTCCTGTACACAGCGGCCCAGCTAGAAACTTTTGCAGAGCAGGGAAGGCGCTTCAACATCAACTTTTTGCATGTTCGTGCATGCGTTTGTATGCACCGGTATGCACATAAAAATTGGTGAAGAGATTTCGACCCCCCCCCCTGGCTACGCCCGTGCTTCCATCGTTATGTTCGTGCGTGTTGAACATTACAGTATAGACCATCATATTGCTTAACACATTGTGTTGATATTTTATGGAATTTAATTTAATATGCAACAATTTAATATCCATTGTTACACAGGCAACCTAAACCATGGTTAACGTAATCGCAGTTACGTGTAACCGAGGTTGGATTATGTTACACAGTACGGGAAACCGCAGTTACGCCAGTAACCGCGGTGGGAAACTGAGCTTGGAAACCTCGGCTGGGTGGATAACCGAGGAAACGGCTGCGTTAACCGTGGTGTAACACGGTTAACATGTGGTTTGTAGTAAGGATGGTTACCTTTCCATCTAACAAAATTATATTTGATACGAGCAGCACACCTTGTTCTGACACGGGTAGCTTCTTTTTCAATTTTTGAGTACTTTTCAACTGCTGTAACTTTCTCTGATCTGAGAAAGTTAATCACCAAGAAATGTCACTGTCATCGCAGGGTGCCGCGAAAGCTGGTGGTTTCGGCGAAGTCTGGGCAACAGCCGTCAGTGGAGGTCGCGTCCAGTTCCTGAAGTAAGTTTGCGTATTCGGTTCCGCACGCCTCGCCATATCCCTAATGGCAGGACTGCCAAGTGTGGCAAGCATAACTTGGGGGATGACAGTATTGCAGGGGAGACGCTACGTGCTGGAAAATGGGTAGCGTATTCCCCAAAGTGCTGCCATATTTCAGCATACTATTTTTTTTCCTCTGGTCTTGCACTCACAAATACTTTATGGATATGTAAAAGCGTTTTGCAATAACTTTATTTGTTTAAAAGGTACCTGATTTGTCGTGTTGGTAGCTCTTGATTGTAACGTTATTGCGCACCGCTTAAGAGACGAAGACTTAGAAAACGAGAGAGAGAGAGAGAGAAAACATTTTATTGAGTACATATAAGCAAAGCATGTGGGAGGCAACCCTAGTCCGGGTTCTCTATTATAATCTCGGCAACTAACCGGGCCCGCTGAACCCAGGCCTGGCGGAATTCGGGAGGCCCGTCGCAGAGGGCATCAATCGTTAGGAGACGAAGATCCACCCGAACACCAGCGCGAAACATTCAACTGAGTTTCTTCGACGGACACGTGATGCTCGTATACGATCGCATTTCGATGTCAAAAGGTTTACGAAAATTGATTACAAAAGCCTCAGCCAACAAATTCAGTTGAAAGTTTGCACTAGTATGCGCTGTAGTTATTTGTCTCCTACGTCGTCGTCCTTTAAGCAATGTGCAATAACATAGCAAATAAGTTTGTTCCAACAGAAAAAAATATATATTGACTCGCAGGGTTTGCCCTGGATATTGAAAGAGATGGACATCGATGATGATGAATTAAAACTTCATTTTCCTCAGAAGAGGGGAATTTATACAGAGGTCGGTTGCGCTACAGAAGTAAGTTGCGCTGCTTAGAGCAGGGGAAAGCATCGATGCCTTGGGATGCCGCAGCCTCCGATGAACGTGAGAGTACCCGGGGTTGCGCAGAACTGCTGCACAGAGCGTATGCGCAATTAAATGCAGGCAGAATGCAAAAATGCGATGGCACCCCCTGCGGTGGTCTAGTGGCTATAGTGCTCGACTGCTGAACCGCAGGTCGCGGGATCGAATGCCGGCCACTGGCTGCCGCATTTTCGCTGGAGGCGAAAATGCTCGATGCTTGTGGTTTAGGCGCATGTTAAAAAACACCGGGTGGTTGATATTTGCGGAGCCCTCATCTGCAGCGTCTCTCATATTCACGTGGTATAGCGTTATGACATTCAACCGCAACAATTAATAAGCGAACTGATGCTGCTTCTAGCACAACGGTTCTACCACAGCTCAATAGAAACACTCTAATGAAAACCGCCCGTATCACATTTCAGCACGCAGCTGGACATCCACCATTCGGGCTCCCTATGGACCGTGTTGTTCGGCACCACTTTTGTCTGGCTCGCCTCGTACGGCACCAGCCAGACGCAAGTACAGCGCTTCTGCAGCGTCTCGAGTCTCAAGAAAGCCAAGGCGTGAGTCACGCATGCATGAATGTTGGCCTTCGTGAATATCGGGCTTGCTGTTAATTGCATGTATAAGCAAGCGCAGCAGTAGCTCGGTGTTTAGTCAAGGGTTAGTGAAATATTTTCGTTCACACGAAATTACTTAGGATGACGCAGCGCGTTGATCGTCAGTGAATAGATACAGACGAAACCAATGACACTTTCACCCTAAAGAAGACGCACTGAAAACTTTAAGGTTAATCAAACTACGTTGTGTAACACGCGGTGGTTGCTTTTTTGATGGTGCACGATGGTGGCTAGCCATCCATCCCATCATGGTGACTAGCCGATCACTAGCTTAAGTTATCTATGCTAAATGAGGGTAGCAAAGAGTCTTATATGCAGTTGAAGTTCGCTATGACATCCTGAATAGGGCAGAGAAAAATATACAGGAAAGGTAAGGAGTTTACCTAGACTAGGTCCAGTTTTCTGCCCTGCACATGGGTAGGGGAATAAAAGAGAAATAGAGGCAACACACAGTGCATGGTTTCACAGACAGTCACTTTGTAATGTTGCCTTCAGGTACTGCAGGAGGCCTCGTGTGGCTTTCTGTGCTGATGTACCGTGACACCATGCATGCCGCCAGAATCTTTTCTGATTTCAAAAGTTCTCATAGCATGGTAACACGTTAAAGTCAGGCCATATTCTTAATTGCAACCAAGGATGTCCCCAGCGGCCAACTTTTTTGTGATCGCGCCTTACGCTGGAGTCACCGAGGCAGTGACGCATACAAAACCACGAAGGTTAGCAAAATATGTTGCCAAGGTGATTTGAAACCGAGATACTGTGGACCATGTCTGTGCAATTACAAATAAAAACACATTAAATTGCTAAAGTGTAGTTGATGCATATGTTGTACTGTGATAACATAATTCTCTTGTTACATGCAATACAGTAAGATAAATGCAATATACTGAGGAGCGCATGGTCGAAAACCCGGTTAGTATTGCTCATCATGTGGCATTCGCTGAGGATTGGCATCATTGTTCTTTATTGCGATAGCAATTATATGAACACTCTCGGCGGATTTTCGTCGTCCCCGTTGTGGTTGCCGTCGCCGTCACGTCCCGTATATGTATTTTCTTTCTTCGTTTTGTTGCAGGGCTATATACATAAACATCCCGGGTGTCATGATTAACATCAGCCTAAGCTGCCTGGCGGGCTTGGTGATCTACGCACATTACGTCGACTGCGACCCTCTCAAGGCCGGCAAGATATCCAACCCGGACCAGGTGTGTATGTGTACAGGATAATGGCACAAGTCAGCAAAACATAGGAAAGTCTCAAAACGTGGTGCTACGAAAATTCGGTAGTGCTGACGCAGTTAGTTTTAGTGTATCAAAATTATAGTGGCATGGCAGTGGTCCTCAGAAGGAAGCGTGAGAATTCAGACGTATTTCATGGTGATTTGCTCACATGCATGCACAGGCATACTGGTTGGTTAATTATGCGCAAATGAGTGATGACCGTGTCGTCCTAAGTTTTATTGCTTTCTTTTTGCTACATTTTAGCATGCCACAGGTTTTGGTTCAGAAGCAATTTTTGTATATATGCGGGCGTGACCCCCCCCCCCCCCCTTTTCTATTACCTTGGTAATGAACATCTGGAGAAAGAGAAGCGCATGATAAATAATTTTAACGTTCTGTAATCAAAGACGTAGCCCAAAGTAACCCTATGGATAAGGATCATCTTTCTTGTGACTGTTGATTTCTACTTAACACAGTTTCTGTTGCTGGAAACTTGCTGCATGTCTGGGTGCCTGTTGCTTTGCCTGCTTGCAATCATGCAGCGTTTCCAGGTGAAAACGTAGCACTTGCACAAGTAGCAAGAAGTTCAGGGCTCACTTTTCAGTGTGGGCTCTTCCAACAAAGTAGGTGTACGCCATGGTGTGCCCGCTCGTAGCTTTGCGAAAGATTGACCGCTTCGTAAATGTGCCAGTTTGCTTCTAATTGTCTTCCGTGAGCACTGACAAGGTATTTGTGTTTTTACTCTCGAAAGCCGCCAGTGTTCCTTAATCTAGAGCGGTCATGGGAATACACAAAATGAATGAAAAGTGTCTCTTCTAAGTTTTTTTTAATTTTTGAAGGCTGAAGCCTTTGATGCTTCGTCAAACGCAACAAGAACCGCGATTGGCAGCAACATGAGTGACGCGAAAAAATCGTCACCACGTGATGACCTTGTTATACATCACCATACGACGTCATCATGCCGCCACATAATAACGTCAACACATGACATATTCATTTGGCGAAAGGTGTGACCATGCCGGAGGCGTTACAAAAGTTGTGTAGAAAGCATCCAGAGCATTTGATCCCAGAAGCAATGCAAAGTTCCGTTAGGTGCAAGGAACCTTCGGAAGGGAAGTGGGGTTAATGCCGTCAGTACAATCTAACGAGAAGAACAAGAAAAAAGTAAGTTTAACTAGTCGTGTATTTTCACGAAACAACGAGGCTAGTAGAGCTCACAGGCTTAACGTGGCCTTTTTGGCTTATGCTAGCTCGTTCCTTGGCATAGACAAAGTCGAGTCTAACCGCAGTATGTCACAGACCATGCAAAAAATGTGCCAACTGCAGCTCCTTAAGTTAACGCGCAAACCTGACTGCGGCACCGCTGGTAGAAGGCACAGATCGACCTTTTGTCGCTCGTTCTCGGCTCGCGCCATTCCGGGCAAACTCGCTGCAGCGGCTGCGCGGACTGCCTCCCTTTGTAGGTGTGGCTTGGAGGTGGCTGTTCCTCGGCACATGCGCGGCTAGGCGAGGATAAACCCCGGTGGTGCGCAGCTGTGGCCTTGGTTATTGATAAGCAATGGTGCGGACCGAGGACGAGGAGCGAAAAATCCACGCATATCCATGAAGTGAATGCTGATGGTGAAGCGAAGCATTGGATCATGAATTGTGGCCTTCTATTTTGTTCCGGTTAACAGCCTTTTATTTTCTGCTTCTTAGCCTCCTGCTCTGTCGAAGGTCTGAAAGGTGGGCCAGCTGGTGACAGTACTTGAACAGCTGTTGGAGAGTACACGTGTAGAATATCAGTGTTTTGTGTGTGTGTGTGTGTGTGTGTGTGTGTGTGTGTGTGTGTGTGTGTGCGTGTGTGTGTGTGCGTGCGTGCGTGCGTGCGTGCGTGCGTGTGTGCGTGTGTGCGTGTGTGCGTGTGTGTGTGTGTGTGTGTGTGTGTGTGTGTGTGTGTGTGTGTGTGTTCGAAATATCAGCTGGCCTACCGTTTTCTTGCTCTAGTGGGGTTACATAAATGTGAAGGTTGAAGTGTTCTTTTTTTTCTTTCTTTTCACTAAATATTCAGTTGCGATACAGCGCTGCGGTTTGTCCCTTCTTCTCTTGTGTCCGCGTAGTCGTGCGCTGTGTTAATATGCATGTTCAACTATTGTTCTCGTATACGCTTTGATTGACGGGTGGTTAAAAGTCGGTGTTTCTCTAATGTTGTGGCCCTTTATTTTGTTTCTTCTTTATGACAGCCTTTTGGTAACATTTTTTTTTTGTTCACAGATGTTTCGGTTTCTACATCTGCTGTAGACGCCAAGCGGCGGTTTATCCATGGAGGGACATTGTGCGGCCTTAAAGAGGTACTGACACAAAATTTCGGGGCCGAGATAGCCTGCGGGATCAATTCTTCTGAACATTCGTATATCATCTGCAAGATATCTACAGCGAATGTAGCTTGGAAGGTATTTTAAATTAATTTTGAAGTTTGCGTGAGCGACCGACTCCTTAGCGCTATAGACGCCCTCGGAGGTGACCCTGAGGTGACCCTCTACTTCCCTCACGTCACCACGCTGCGGTTAACAAAACAAGTTATCATGACGTCATAGCGGCCTTTTTTCTTTTGCCGCGTTAGTTCCCGAAGTCTACATTTCTCGGCGGCTGGTTGCGAGTGCGTGGCTGTGGCGCACACTTAGAAAGTTTTGTGTTTGGCGAGATTCCAGTGCCGTTTTCTATTCTAAAGTAGTTCTTGATGCGGATCGTGTGGAAGTGCGTCACAGTTCTGTGGGCTGACGTATAGTCAAGAGTTGCGCACCCTAGGCGGCGACAGTTGCACCCAGTTTTTGGAACTCTGTCAAACCGAATCTGAAATTGATTGATAATGAGGGGCCTGTAATTAGTTATCTATCGCGTGATGCAGCAAACTATGTGTCGTGTCACGACTGACAGCCCTACAGCAACGCATTGCAGCGGGAAAATGCGATGCCAAATATTTTGTGTCAGTACCCCTTTAAGGTACTTTGCCCCTAAATATTTATTCAAGGTGAAGAGTTTTGGGCACGGAGGGCTTTTGAGGACACCCGACGTTTCACTGCGAGCTTTAAGAGCTTCGCTGTTTAAAAAAAAAGAAAGAAGACTTTTACTTTGGAATCGTCATAAAAAATGCGCAAGAGAGCGTGTAATTTTTGTTTAGCTTTTGTGCCCGTGTTCGAATAATATAAATGTGACCAAGTGGGCTCGTGTAACGCGTGGCCAGCGGATAATTAGTCGCGAAATATGGTTGGATCATCGCGTCAATACTGACGTTTCATGCAGCTGGTGCCCTACTTCGTGATGAAGACTATGAACGCCGTGCCCGGTCTTCCTGGCCTCTTCGTGGCGTGCGTCTTCAGCAGCGCTCTCAGGTACACGAAATATAGTTGGTCCTTGAGTCGCGTGGGTTGTTAAGATTACTCTATTTGGTAGTTGTGCTTCAACGTGGAAACATGCGGTGCTTTTCAACTGAAAGAGAAATCGTGCAAGGTATACGTCTATCAATATGATGCATGTACCTTCAAACGCTGCTGCTCGTGAAGGCGATGTGTGAGCTTACATGATCGTTTTCGTAAGCGTGTGATCATGCCTATTCGTCTTTTCATTTTTGAATTTTAACGGAAAGTTTTCAATAAATCTGCAACCTGAAGCAATTTAATGAGACAAAAAAAAGCTGTGAACCACGTCATAATAGCGTGAGCCTGTAGAAAAAAAAAAACGTGTCTGAGCAGATTTCTGCATGAAGGAGTGGCCATATGATATGTTTGTGTGCTATCTGGTTGTCGACTAATTCGGCTTACTTTTATCTGTGGTGCGGTGGTCTAATGATGAGGCAATGTGGCGATATGGCAAGGAGAAGCGTACCACAAGTTTTTCGTTGCGCGAAGGTTGCGACTCTCTTCATATCTGCCCCTTAATTCTTTTAACCCACAGCACGCTGTCTTCAGGTTTCAACTCGCTGGCCGCCGTCACGTGGGAGGACTTCCTCGTTCGCCACCTCCACCTCACCTCTCGACAGGAGGCTTTCGTCACCAAGCTCGTAGGTAAGTGTCGTATCCCACGTTATACCGTGTATGAGGATGAAACTACAAGCGAATTGACAACGGCTATCGGACATACAGGTTGGGTTCGATCGCCGATAGCTTTGTTGCTGGGTGGTTAAGTATATATATTTTTTAATTCAGAATACCTCTAAGGGCTCTCTCACAGGAGGGTATTACATAGGGCAGGGGGGGGGGGGGGGCATAACGCATACAAGCACATGAAATGATTAATAGGGCCAGAAAACACGCAAACTAAACACTATACAGCTGCTAAATAGATTAGAGCAAATATAAGATCAATATTCTTACCGCATAGTCCTAAATATTCAGAATAAATAATATGAGTCAAACAATAATGAAACTATAAAAATATTTTAAAATTGATCTAAACAAGGGAGGTAATAGATTCACAAGAGTACAATACAACACAATCTAGCTTACTACCAGCACACGTGCCATTAAAGCATAAAGGAATGATAACATCACCAACAGCACGTGTGAAATACTGAATTAGGCAAACACCGCAAAAAATAACACGAACCATGAACATACGCAGTTTACACACTTTATACGCTTAACTACACAGCGTATTCGATCGAACCGGTCTATGCTGCATCGCGTCACCACGAACGTGGTCCAATTAATTAACATGAATGCAGGGAGCCCGTGTGTCACAGCATTAGAAATCGTCATTGATTTCTGACAGAGAAGCTAGTTATTGGTCGAGACTTTCGTATTTAGGTTTCGTGGTGACGCTTGTGGGCATCATTAACCAATATGTGCCACAAACATCGCGTAAACCCGTTCGCTTAACACTGACCCACCAATGATGAAGGCAGCACTTAGCCCAACGAACTGGTACGTATCGCAGAAGTCTGTGCGGTCTATGACAAAACTATCGTCGTCATAAATGCGCGTGTGCTACAAAAATTGGCTAAATCTCACTTCGCGCAACTGCATTTATAAAAAGGAACAAGGCAACACGAAGGCCCAGCCAAATGGCGTGCACGTTACCATGATCAGACCACTGCAACTTCATAATTTGTGGTTATAAAACATGGTGACCATACTATACCACGTCAAAGCCTAACAATATGTACTTAGTAAAGAGGAGTGATACAACATGTCGTAACATCTTAAGCGAAGTTTTGTTTGTAAACCTGTGTGTAATAGTGGTATAATCAAGATGCAATGAAACTATACTAGCCCTTCAATGCTTGGCAAAGAGTGTTTTATTGAGAGCATGCGATACAAGGTGCGTGCAATACTTGCAAAACATCGAAATGTGTTAGCCTGACAAAGGGAACACGACCAATTGGTCGTTTGATTGGTGTCCTCGAAGTGGCACTGGTTGAGTTGTTTTTTCTTAATAGTTTTGCATCGAGATGACAGCAGTGTGAATGACCCTGAGCCACGTATACCCTCTAATCACGAAGAGTAAAACATGTGTTAAAAAGCTAGGTTTATTGTTATCATGTGCGATCCCTGTTCGCGCGCAGGAAAAGTAATAGTGTTTATATTTGCGTTAAGTTGTTGCATTTTTACATTGTTTCAGCCGCCCTCTACGGATTGCTGACCATTGGCCTAGCCTTTGTTGCCGGCTCGGTGGGATCAATCCTCAAAGTAAGCGCAGCGTTTACACTACGGGCGCTTCGTTCGCTGAGATACACGTAATTTTCCTTAGCGATTGTTGTGTGAAAATTTACTTATTTTTCGTTTAAATTTGAACGATAACGTTTCGCGTGCCCAGAAAGCGACCTAATTATCAGGCACAGCATGCCTAGGGACTGCGGATAAGTTTTGACTACCCTGTGGTTCCTCAATGTGAATATCTGGGGTGTCACGTCCCAAAACCGCGATATACGATTAGGAGGGGCGCTGGTGTGGAGCGCTCCGAAGATTTCGACCATAGGATGTTCGTTAACGCGCAATGGCGTCGCACTATGCACGGGCCTGTATAGTTGTGCCTCCATCTAAATGCGACAAATACGACCGCCACGGCGGGAATCGAACCTGTGACCTTCGGATCTGCAGCCGAACATCGTAAGCGCTACACCAGCGGGGCGGTGGTTTCCTTAACATGTATACCTAAATATAAGTGCATGGGTGTGCTTCCGTTTCGTTTCCTTCGAAATGTGGCCGTTGTCGCCGCTAATCGAGAGTGCGACCTCGAGCTCGCCGGCACGACACATTAGCCGCTGGTATCACGACAGCGAGCCTTTATTGCTTGTTTTTGTAACTCCTTACGTGTTTCTGATGTCCCTATAAAAACTTCCTGGTGCTAAATGTCGTCATGTGCTTAGTGAAAGTGCACGCTTGTGTAAACTTAACAGCAGAAATGTGATTAAGTGCATTTAAACCATTTCATATATTTACTGTATTGAAAGAAATGTTTGAACGTTGAAAAACTTTACTATATACTCACTTTTCTTACACGTCCTGATGTTGAGATACACAACAAGTCGGCTTCAAAGTCTGTTTCGAAGCGCCACTGCCGGCATAACCTGCATTATTGTGATCTCATAAAATGTGCGTTGCCGTGGTCCAGTGGTTTTGGTGCGCAGCTGTGACCGCTCCCTGATTACGTGTTGCGGTCGTCACATTTTGACTCCATCAAAATGCTGCGCAATCTATGTACTGTGCAATGTCAACGCACGTAAATGAATCACAGGTGGTCAAAATTATCCGGAACCCTCCACTGTATGCGGCGCATCTCAAGGAACGAGTCGCATCGGGACGTTAAATTCCCCAAATTAATCGATGTCACCGCACCGCGAACAGTTTGCTGACTGTGCGTATAACCAGTAAGGCTACAATATACGGCGCGAAGCAACCAGCGTTTTTTTTTTTATTAACCGGTGCATTTGAAATGTCTGCTGTCATTGTTGGTTAGATGATTGCAGACACGAGCAAGACAATAATCTCAGGATCATTTGGCTTTATTGGTAGTGTGTAATAAAAAAATAAAAAAGTTTTTACTGGAACAAAACATTACTGAAACGCTATCAGTCATTTCGTTCCGCAGTGAAAACGAAATATACTTATCGGTTTTCAGTTCGAGGAAAAAGTTGGTAATGAGGAACTACCAAGGTAATGCAACGTGAGCATTAATACACATCTCAAGGGACAGAATTAATGCGTGTTTGTCACAGACAGGTATTCAGAGGTAAAGGTGTGTTTAAAGGTTTCGAGAAACGAAAAAGATCGCGTGGCAAATCAAGCTTTTTATATTACCGTAAGCGGATCTTGATGTGTCAGTAGCACAGGTCAGCATGGAGTGGTTATTCCCGGCGCTGAAGTGTACCAGAACAGTGGTATCGCATATGGAATACTGCACTCTATGCTGTTCTGCTTTTGAGACCATGCTTACTCCCTTGGCGAAAAGCGTTCAGCCTGCTCGCAGAACTCGTAATTCACTAACAAGAAATGTAAATACGGTGTTTTTTTATCATTTGATTAACATTCAAACTTTCCGAACAAAGAAAAACTGTTGAGAACTGTTACAGATTTTTTTCTTTTCCGGACAGGAAGGGAACGCTGCTTTTTTTTTTAGGTAGAAGGAAACTGTTACGTCTGTACAGCCGCTTGTGACTGTAGACGATTTATTAAAGGACAGGAAACGTGAACAAGTTCAAAAGCGTAGCCCAGGCGTTGGAGTCACTCCTGGCCAGCGTTCGACGCCAGGCTCGCGCTCGTGCCACAGCGCCAGTGCCCCGCGCGCACTTCGTTAATGTCGTCTTCTAAGGCGACATGTCAGAAACTGTAACGAAATGGAAAATAAAATCACCAATAATTACGATGATGCCTAATGCGGATTCTGAGCGCAGCTTCATGTTGGGACGACATCAACTGTGTTTCAAGTTCTGGCTGTCCACACTTGCAACAGTGAAACATTCTTCGCATATTGTCACAGAAACTGCCAGCGCCCGAGTGCTACGCACGCCACTCTGTGTACTGCAGGCGTCGCGAACCAAGCAAAACACCGACGGCCCCGTTACAAGCGAAGCCCGCCGCAGTGCAAATGCCCGCCCCGCATGCGCACGAACATCTGCGCGCGTGACGGAGGAAGACAGCGAGGTTAGAGGCCAGTGGCTGGTGATATTGACAGACTCCGCGTTCTCTCTCTCCCTTTCGTCCTCGTCCGCCCTATCGTTTACACCGGCGACGACGCTCAACGCACGAACAGATGCCTGAAGGCCTGACCACGCGTACCCGTTTCAGCACGTGGCATTTTTGACCAAGTTGTTTTGACGCGACGCTGAGCTCTCTCCCTATAAAGAGAAAGGGCTCGCAGCACCGCGTAGCCACGCGCCCTTCCTCTCTATGGAGAGAGGGTGAGGTACCGCGTCCAAAAGCCACGCGCTGACGCGCTGCAACGCGTGCGTGTGGTCAGGCCTTGAGAGCTGCGCTCTAAAACGTTTCGTCCCGACACCGTGGACTATCGGAGCGATCCTGCGTGGTTCATGTTCTGTGACGCTTTCGTTACAGGCAGCCTTCGCAATGTCTGGTGCTCTGTCTGGCCCTTTACTTGGAGTCTTTACGATGGGACTGCTACTTCCGTTAAGCAATAAAAAGGTACGTTCGTGCTAGAAGTTGTGCGGACAACGCGCCATCTGTTGGTAGTCTTACCATCGCGGAAAATGTTTTTGGGACGTTTCAGTAGGTAGACCAACGTCAATATTTTCAACGGCGACAATCTTATGCAGTCACGTTGCCTGCCCTTAATGCGCAGGTTGCGTAGATAAGCGATGCCTTGTTCACGTGGCTTGTCTATAATTTGCAGACACCAGGATACTTCATTCTTGGCTTAGTCGATGCTTTTCTAACGGGCATGCTTTTTTTATTGTTACAAAGATGATAGACACACAGAAATGAAACTTTTTTTTTTCGATGAATGTCCTGGTGCTTTTTTTTTGACGCAGCGAACACTTCTTTGGGACACTGGGGAGAAAGATGGTGTCAGGCCATAATGAGGCAATACGTGCCACGTGTAGTGTGATTATTTCGCGTGGTGCGCTGGTGTGTATATTAACCCTGTTCTTTTCTGAATGAGCTTGCTGTGAGCGCAGCAATTGTCCGTATCGTTCCGTCGTTGTGTGCTGGTTATGTGCGCTTCTTCGCGTGTTATGGTGATTCCATATCATACGCTTTACAAGAAACGAGTGCCTTTTTTTCAAGAGACACTGCACACAACACGATCGCTGACTTTCAGCTGAAAATGTTGTGACAGTGCGGGTTGGAAGGAATAGCTCTAACTGCGCATGTCCATATTAGTCAGTGAACAACTGATTACCATCACTCGTGGTTAGAAGTCGCCTTTTTGTTTGCAATTCCTGCGCAGTTAACGGCTTACTTATGCCTCTCATTTCCACTGCTTTCTGTTTATACATTCACTATGAGTTATGTTTGTCGCGAGGGTTTGTCACGGCTGCTGCTTTTTTCTGCTTACGTTTTCTGGAGTTTTCTTTGCACATGCGTATATTTTCTAGCTACAGCGACGTTGCAGTTGTCAGTTAGCGTTTTTTTCCTTCTCTCTCGCCATTTTTTTTTTCCCTTGTCTATCGGGTTTGACTTCACAAGATGCGCTTATTCCGCATTTTCTCCGATGAACCGCGAATCTTTCAGGGCGCCCTGGTTGGCCTGCTATTAGGCGAGGCCATGTGCTTGTGGGTGGTGATAGGGGGTCTCATCTACGGCTCGCCCAGCGAAGACCTCCCGACCTCCGTCGAAGGGTGTGAAGACGCAGCGTCACTTCCTGCCCTCAGCGGTCACTTCAACGCATCCATGCACCGGTCGCCACTGGAGCCACAGTAAGGATACACTTACCATTTTTTAAACTTCGAACAAATATACCGCAGGTCGCGGGATCGAATCCCAGCCGCATTTCCTATGGAGGAGGAAATGCTGTAGGCCCGTGTGCTCAGCTTTGGGTGCACGTTAAAGAACCCCAGGTGGTATAAATTTACAGAGCCTTCCACTAAGCCTTCTCTCATAATCATATGGTGGTTTTGGGACGTTGAACCCCACATATTAGTCAATCACTCCAAATCACTTACCTTTGTGGCATTTTTTTTTCTAAGAGCCTTCCGGAGTTTGCGAGATGCCTTGAAAGGTGATTTTGCCTGTGCAATGGCATCATCGCACGACACCGTCATTAGATCAGAGGTGGGCGAATAACAGAGGCAGTGCAGAAACACCAGAGGTGCAGAACGTCTTAGGTGAATGTATAAGTAAACATGTGATCTTATTTTATTAATTTATTTGTTTGTTAAAGAAGCAGAGAGATAATTATATAGGTCATATGTAAATCAGAAGGCTTGTACAACTTTGCTCTAAGTTTACCGACTAGATATTTTTCAGTGAAAAAAACAAAAACAAACACTCGTCACTGCTAAGTTCAGATGGGCTGGCACAGCCTGATCACGCTTTGGATAACATCGACAGCTTGCTTTTTGGCGCAGAAGCATGTGTGTTATGTTTGCATCTTTGCCTGTCGTGGAGGCGTGTAGCCCTGGTTTCGTAACGTCGACGCTTACCCAGCATAGAAGAAGCTCCCTGTTTCGCTTTTGACTCATCGTTTATTGCTTATTTCTAATTGTTTTGATAAGTCTCCCGCAAAGTGAACCACCCTAGCTATTACAGGGCTGTTAATACTATTTAGAAACGCCATGGCCTCAATATAGTCGAAAATACACCGGAAATTCTTTCTAAAGTGCGTGCTTTTTTTTTTAACGAATGAGAAAACTTACCAACAGTGTGTCTAATTACCGAATGCAAGACGAGAAACGCCGTGAAATAGTTATAATCGGAATTTTCCGTCTGCGCAATTATAATGTCGTGTACACACAGCACAGCAAGATGGCATGTTCGGCCAGTTGGTTTACGTTCGTTTTTGAAAATTTTTGTTAAGGCACACCGAAACGCACTTCTAGACTGTGTTTCTCGGTGCGCTTCAACCGAAATTTCAAAACATGAACACACAACGCATGCTGCAAATAGTGGGAATGCACGCGAGAGTGGTTCGTGTTTATACGGGAAGGTTCGCTGCCTGCACTCCGCGCGCATGCGCCTTGACTCGATATGTTCCACCAGTTTCTGCGAAGGCAGCGCCGCTTCCCCGCCTGCAACTTTTTAGGATCGAAGCTGTTAAAGCTGGAGGTAAAACATCGGGAGCCTGCGAAGAACCGTCCGCGCCCGTTGGTTATTAGCCGCGCTCAGCAACGGAGCCAGTCCGCTGAGCCGGGTACGAGCGACGAATGGCGCGCGCTCTGGCCGGGGATTGATTGATTGATTTGTGGGGTTTAACGTCCCAAAACCACCATATAATTATGAGAGACGCCGTTGTGGAGGGCTCCAGAAATTTTGACTTCCTGGGGTTCTTTAACATGCACCCAAATCTGAATACATTTCCGCCTCCTTCGGAAATGCAGCTGCCATCTGGCCGGGGATGACACATCTGGCCGGGGATGACACGTTAGTTTTGGGCGGTAGAAATTTAGGCATTATTGCAAGTTCTGTGACAGAACGTGGTTCGCTCTACGTTTTCTACGCCTAGGAAAGACCAGTCAGAGGCCACGTTAAGTCCCTATGATCTACCAGCTTGGCCTTTTTATTTCTAAGCTTTACACGGTTAGTGTAAGCTTCCATCTTTTTCCTTCTTGTTTTTTTTGTTCACCTAGTAAGGAACACAAAATAGTCTGTACTACTAATAATATACAAACTCCAACTGTTTCAGCACTGAATGCGGCGTGCACGAGAGCGTAAGACTACGTACAGCTAAGTTTACGAAGTGAAGGACTCGATAATCCACTAAGCTGTGCTACATGCAGGTTTCTCGCAACTATTAAACACAATTTAATGATACGAATTCTACTCGGATCGCAAGAAGGATGCTTGAAAGGGTGTATAATTCACGGTCTTTTTATTTCCACCAGCAAGTAATTGCGTGTTCTGGCCTCTTGTCGCTCCCTATAATAAAACCAACAAGAGCAACGCGACGGTGGACTTCGCTATCAACGAATTAAAGAAAAGTGAGCTTGATAGAATTTTTAAAAATTTGATTTATTTTCGTGTTTCGCAAACACTTATCAAAAAAAAGCTTCTCGCCTTTTCCACCGAAACTATCGTGACTGGGTATTGCTCATCAACCGAAAAAAAAAAAATCTCTAATAGTTGTAACGATCCTAAAGCCTGGCCCCTCCTGCAACCAGGTTGCTGTCAGTTTAATTGCACTTACCCAAATGTTTGCCGTCTCCTTTTTCATTAATTGATTCTCACTTTAAGTCAACTGATCTTGCCGCATGCGGTTATTTTTATATAACCAGCATGTTACACACAAGCGCGTAACCAGAAATATTTTCCCCCTTTAAAATGGCCACTTTTGCTCCCTATGTCATGGCGAAAAAAATTTCGGGGGGGGGGGGGGGGGCACGCGCTCAGTGTGCCATTTCCTGGCTACGCCCTTGGTTACAAATATCACCAATGATTTGCGCAAACCGCGCCCGAGTCTCTAGAAACCTTCCGTATCATTTCAGAATCGTCTGATAAGCTTGAGCCCGCTACGAGAACAAATTCGATCTGGAAATAACGCTGCCACAGACGATAAATCTGGAAACTTTGATGTCGCGGGCATGAAATGCTGACGCGCCTAACTTGATTGATTGATATGTGGGGTTTAACGTCCCAACACCACCATATGATTATGAGAGACGCCGTAGTGGAGGGCTCCGGAAATTTCGACCACCTGGGGTTCTTTACCGTGCACCCAAATCTGAGCACACGGGCCTACACCATTTCCGCCTCCACCGGAAATGCAGCCGCTGCAGCCGGGATTTGAAACCGCGACCTGCGGGTCAGCAGCCAAGTACCTTAGCCACTAGACCACCGCGGCGGGGCGACGCGCCTAACTGCAGATGAGATTATCGTAGCCTCACGGCAGTGCTTGCCGCTGTCAGTGTACAGCGGTTATTGTTTGTACTTTACCTATTAAAATTCCTGGCCACGAGGCCACTCGAATAAAAAGTTGAGTGTGTAGTACGCCGACTGCTGCTTTCTTCAACGTCACAATATTAAGTCTACTAGTTGTTGGATCATATCAGTGGAAGTTGAATTGATGGGACAAATGAAAAAGTTATTATGCTGTTGTTTATAGTTTTACTTTTTATTTTAATACACACAGCGCCTATACAAGAATTAGAGCGTGCGGGGGGGGGGGGGGTACAGGAAAAGAACATGAAAATTGCAGGTTCACATAAGTTTGTGTAAAAAAGGAAAAGAAGTAGATTCGCAGGACACAAAACATACACAGCTGCACCAAGCACAGCTGCGTCAGAGAAAGTCATGTGTATTGGAGATAGAAAAAAAATGCTGAAACCACAAAAAATAATGAAAACTCATGATAATTAAAACAAAGTGTGGCATTCCTCCAGCACAAGAGCAAATGAAAAAATCAAAACAAAACAACATAGCTTACAACCAAGATATCGCACACATCATGGCGACTGCCAGGCGCACACACGCAGTCTATAGGGCTTAGCGGTCGAAAGATTCAATCTTTTTATTGCAGAAAAGAACGCATCTGTCGAAGAAATTTCTACAATTGTGCGAGGAAGTCGATTGCACTGACTGATAGTTCTCGGAGAAAAAAGATTGCTGAAGGACGATGTATTGCATTTATATTCTCTTATCTTGTGTTCATGATCTTTGCGGACTGAAATGTAGTGAGGCCGGCTTATGTATACGTCACGGGGAATTCGAGTGTGAGAATAAAATATGCTGTGCACTGGCTTCAGTCGAAACAATGCCCTTTGGTGCTGCAAAGACTTCCATTTCCATGTCGAGTAGCTATCGAAGATATAGGCACCACTGAAGTCTCGGGTGCCAAGAGTAAAGGTACGCCAACTATAGGATGCGAGAGAGTCGGCCGGTGACACAGCCATTGCTAAGAATCGTCAAACTCGGCTGTAAGTAAGGCAATTACCTTTATTAAAGCGTATTTGGGTGAATATCTGCACCATATATTTTTTCCCAACTTTCTCAGGATTTTACCCTTCCTCTTTTTATAAGACAGGCCGTCGCTCGCGAAACGTTTTATCAGGTGTAGCGCTTGTCCTCGTTTGTCTCCATGTCTATAGTTCTAACCCCCATATTCACAAACGCTTCTCGACTCGACTTTCACCCTTCACTTGACAGAGTTGAGCACTGCGCCGCTGCTCGGCTGAAAGTGACGCTGCGCTACTCAAAAATCGCAGCAGATTATCGCTGATATGCAGTGACTTTCCCTACCTACAGATGGCGCTCCCATCAGCCTTCTCAAGTGAGGGTGAAGCGTTGAGTGGATGAACATTCTAGAATATGGGGATAAGCTACGGCTATGGAGCCATAATAATGACATACGAGCTATTCCAAGTCATCACCCTTCTACGTCGGAGTTCTTTCGTGGGACAACCGACCCTTTTAGGTTTCGCGCCAACACATTTGTCTGAGGAATAACGCTTACAGTCTTCGCACTTTTCTTTGTCTACAGGGGACTTCTCAAACTCTACCGGCTGTCCCATTTGTTTGTTCCCGTGCTAGGATTCGGCGTCACTATGACGACGGGCATCATTCTCAGCATCCTCACAGGTGAGCATGCATATTTTCTCAGGTGGGATCACGTATGCACATCGAAATAGCAATCATGAAACCCTCGTCGGCAACCTCTAGCTTACTTCGCATCTGTTTACGTTCATACACACCTGTTCTGTGTTATAGTATACTGCCGAATGTTGGGTCACATCCTCATCTACACTGCGCATCTTCTTTGCCTCACTCATTGTTTTTTATAGTCTTGAAAGCTTTTCATTAGCGTACTCCCATAGGCCGTTTGCCCGAAGGCGCTGCCATGTTGCGATTGCAGCGCCGTTTATCATACAGCGCAGCAGCGGAACGCATATGATACCACACAAATGAGGCGCCGACTTCCAACAGGGTTTTATTTCGCGCACGCGAAAGCAATCTATTAACACCTCCAACAGCCTGCAACGTCTAGTCACTCTTTTTATCATCTCTTTTGTCTTTTTCTGCCTGCATATTTCATGTTCGCGCAATAAATCCCTGTTGGAAGTCAGCGCCTGTGCTGTGTGGTCTCATCTGTGTCCCGTTTCTGTGCTGTTCAGAATAACCATGTGTACGTAATCAACATGACTGCTTAACCATCATTCTGAAGTCCGTTTATTACCAATATCGCCGTTGATCAAAGTTCACGGAAACTGGGAACTGTTATCAAAAGGCTATCGCGACAGACGTCAGCAGACGGCTCCTGCTCTTGTCGCACGTTCCGTTCCACGCGCTTCCCGCACAGCCACAACGCACGTGCCGGGATCCCTGCCGCACGCAAGCGGGGGACAAATAAGCCAATTGGCGACGCTCTTTCACCCTCACATCGGGTGCGGCACGTGCGTTGCGGCTGTGCGGGAAGCGCGTGGAACGGACAATCAGCACGAAAACCCCTTCGCTCCCTCGAGCGGCCGCACTACATTGATCATCATTTCACAGAGTTACGCGAGACCGGATCCCTATAGAGCAGGGGCATAGCCAGAAATATTTTCTTTCTGGGGGGGGGGGGGGGGGGGGGGGTTCAGCTATACTTTATGTTCATGCGTTCGTTTGTCTGTGTATATACAGGCAAGCAAAAGTGAAAATTTTCGGGGGGGGGGGGGGGAATGTTAGAATCCTCTCCTGGATACGCCCCTGCAATGGCCTAACTTCGTATAGAATTCTAATTTGTTCCTGGCGACGAATACAGCTTCACGCAAAAGTCAGGGAGCGCTACATAAAAAAAAAATACAGTGCACGATGTCGCGGTTTTCTTTGAAAAGCTGATCGTTACTGGCGTTCAAATGAACGCGAACTGCGAGTGAGTGGCCACCACGTTTCGGCCAGTTACCGGAAAGTGGCGAAAGCAATTATCACCCAGTGCCTCTCATTTGGACTTTATAAAAAGCGCCATATTACCGGCGGCCGCAAAAGTTCTCACCCTTAAGCGGGTGTTTTGAAAGACCGTCCTTTTTTTTTATCCAAAGCTTATTAGTGAAATAACACCGAGTGAAACCGCGTTATAGTTCACAAAGTACGATGTGACAGTTGTCCAAGAACCACTAATTTTTGTGCGCGCGCTAACGCAGGCGGTAGTGGACGCACGAAAGACTCCGACCTCTACGTCAAGTGCGTCGCTAAGCGAATGATGGAGTGCGAGGAACACGCACAGCAATTGGACGACCTGAAGGTAAGCTTTCTATTGTGTCCACTAATGTTTCGTGATTTTACCGACTCTTTCCGCAACACAGTGATCTGTGTTTTGGAGGGCCAAATAAAAGTTTATCCAATCCAATCCAATTTCCAGTTTTTACCGAGTTGGTATTCGTCATATCTTGCCAAAGCATCAGCATTATAACTACGATTGAGTAGGTCACAAGCGCACGAACGAACGTGAAAGTATAGCCATACTCACAAATTGTGCACTATCGATACATACGCCAAATCAGGCCAGTTGACTAGTATTCATCATGAACTTTGTTACAGCGCCACTCTGTCTATGTCAGTGTCGCGATGTAACGACGCTTAAGGTTAATACTTACTACCAGACGGCAATATCAGGCATCAATATATTTGATTGCTCAGTCATGACAACTGTGGTGCGTTATAAACAATGAAGTATATGTTAGGATGCAAGCGTATACAAAGTAGGGCGTAATATGCTCACCGTCACAAGTAACTTCTAGATTTCACAAAAATTCCTGGCCCTATACCTTCTCCCTGTTAACACAGTCAGTTAAATTAAAAGGTTACTTTCACGTTCGCCGATGATATTAAAATTATTGATAAGCCTTGAAGTACCTTACATCACGACAATAACATTTTCAGTTGCTTATACCATGATTATGTATGTTTTTTTCCTGCTCTTCTGCTCCTTTCTGGCTCTAAACCCCTGTATACTGTATACTGTATATAGTTGATTTTAAGCCCGCCAGCAGAGTTCTCTGTTTTTCAGTAAAGAGGTTTTTCTCTCAGTCAATCGTTCTCTCACGCACTTTTAAACGAGACGCGTTCTATCCAAACCAGGACGGAGCCAGGTAACAGATGCGTGAGGTATAAAAAGCGGGGGTGAAAATTGCGTGCATTAACGCAACTGTTACGCTTTAACCGCACCTGATAGCTATACTGGTGTTACACTCCTCGCTATAGAGAGGCGGGAAACCTACGCTCTTGTTTTGAATAAGTTTGCTATTGGGAAAAGGGGGGGGGGGCGACTCTTTCTCCCCTGAACAAAATTGATGCTTTTTCTTAAAGTTGTCTTTCAACTAAAACTAAAATGCTTAGTTAAAATCGCATGGCTACATGCATGATCCAGGTGAATTCGTTCGCATTGCAGGTCGTACCTCAGCAGCAAGGCGACGCGGCATAAAGCCTGGCACCAGCGAAAGCAATCGACTGAAGAACGGCCGCTACTGAATTGTGCAGAATCGAATTTCCAGCACGCACTCGCCGCTGCTGCATCTAACGCGGTCGGCTTGCATTTTCATCATACGAGTTTCGTGACCAACGGCATTTCAATACTTCGACAACTCAAAGACAAAACAAATTTGTAAAAAACGAAGTGTACACACTATGACGACACCAATATGCGGTGGAGCAGTAGCTGTCATCTATATTGCCGCAAGGAAAGTTTCATGCTGACGTACATTTCCAACACGGAAGTGTTTTATGCCGGGGTTGACCAGGAGTTCAGTGGCGTATTTCCACCACGGAAAGACGTCGAAAATACGCACGATCATAAGACAAAATTTTCGTCAAGAGAGGTCGAACCCGTGACCACTGGGTTTGCGACGACACATGCCGGGCACGCTATCCACTGCGCTATTGCCACATGCTTTGTAGGCTTTAAAAAATCACGGCTTTTATACCTACCACTGTCATCTCGCAGCGTTCATAGTAAAGTTCAGTAATTCATCATGACCATGGAATCCACGATAAGTTCCTTCAACGCGTCGTTTCTAAGCGTGCGTCTCATTCGGCACGTTTCCAATGGAAGTGCATTTTTGTCAAACCCCATAAAAAACCCCAGGTGGCGACCTTATTCCAAGCGTCCGCATCGCCCATAGGATCCATCCATACCAAAAATAGCTCGGCGACGACCACCGGCCTCGCCTAGCTTCAACTCCACGTTGCCCTCTTGCTCTATCACTCTTAGCGAATAATCGTGGCCGGCCAGAGGGAATTACGTGCGTTGCGTTTCTCTCTAGCCTGGCTGTGTTGTAATAACTCCAACGTACCGCCAGTATATAGACGACCTTAGCCCAAGTTCACCGTCCAATCACTCGCGCTTTTCTGGCTGTCACATCACTTTCTCTGGTTCAGCTCTCACCGTTAACTAGTATACACAGCTACCAAAAGCGTCTGCCACCGCAAGGGTTTGTTTAATCAGAAACGAATGATGGGCGTTGGTCGTCGGGTTGCAGTTGTACGACTAAGTGCCAACGCGGATGCATCCGCGTTAAGCTGTGCTGTGCTATAGCTGTCAAACACCATCAGGCACTGCGCAAGCTGTCTTATATCAAATGTACAGTAAACATTAAAATACCTTTGTAAGGACTTGTTTAATTTTGTGTTTTTGCCTATTCCTATGTCGGAGGGATCAACTGTTTTTTTAATTGCCTATCGGGGACACCAACTTTTGTACGGCAGTGAAGGCTTGTGCAAGCGGCCAGCCAATCACGAAAAGGAACTGGCTACAAGCTTTTAAATAGAAGCTCACCTATTGTTTGCTGCATTTACGTAACGGTTCTGTTCTGTAGACGACGTACTAAAGGTGATCAGAGGCGGACTAAAGGTGATCAGTGTGGACACTAGCGCCAATGCACGTGAAAGCTGTGAGTCTATGGTTATCTGTAAACGAACTTTGAGAAAAGGTTGCGTTTCTCTAACGCATTTTTTTAGAAATAAAAAAAAAATCTGTTAGTGATCTCAGACAATTGAGAACATAACGCGCTTCCAAAATGTAGAAAACCGGTTAGAAAAAGACAAACGAATAGCTTATTACAATAAATAAATCCTTGGCGTATAACATGACTAAATGGGTCGTGAACCATTGTTCCAGGTACTCATCAAATGACCTCGGCATCGCAGTTTCTTTATTCACAATACCATCGCCGCGAAAATTTTTCAGCGTCCTCGCTTCATTATGTGTTTGTGTACGTGGTTTTATGTGGGCGCGCATATATTTGCACACAAAATGTACATTGGATAAGGGTGGGGCGGGTATTCGATATTCAACCACCCAAACCGTTATTCCTGGCTTGGGCAGGGTACGGTCCGAGTCCAGGGCAGGGTATGGTCCGGCATCACATCGTATGTGATGCCGTCTTGTGAGTTTGCTTTGAGAATTCTTCTTTGTGTGGTGAAAGAATTGATTTGATTGATATTATTGATATGTGGGGTTTAACGTCGTATGATTATGAGAGACGCCTTAGTGGAGGGATCTAGAAATTTCGACCACCTGGGGTTCTTTAATGTGCCCCCGAATCTGAGCGCACGGGCCTCAGCATTTTCGCCTCCATCGAGAATGCAGCCGCCGCAGCCGGGATTCGATCCCGCGACTTGCGGGTCAGCAGCCGAGTACCTTAGCGAGTAGACCACCGCGGCGGGGCCGTGGTGAAAGGAGGAAGTAGCAAAAACTACGGCGCACTCATGACCTTGATAGACTGAAAAATTATCCCCGGAGTTGTGACTCAGAATGTTGCGGGCACAACCGTTCGATATAGCTTCATAAAAATGAACTATATAGCGGCGGTTTAGTGCTACAACGCAACGTGTTCAATTGCGCACTTCAGCAAGGCTAATTCGAGAGCCACACAAACAAAAAAAACTACCTGTCAGTGACAAGTTAGCAACACGATGTACCTGTAAAACAAAAACAGACAAACAAAAAACTGCCCTACGTGCTTTTAGACTGAAAGACGTTCAAAACTTTATTTAAGTCAGTTCTGTGGTGATATTTTTATTGAACAAAGACAGCACTATTATAATTCGTTGAATTTCGCGTCTAGACTAAATGCTGACACGTCACTGTGACATCATAGACTTAAAAATGTTTTGCTACAGTTCGGCCGCTAACGGCGCACAAAAAGCTTTTTACGCCGTGTATGGTTAGTCTTTTGGTCTCTTATAGTACATTGCAGTCCGTCTTATTGACAACTTTGCCCAAACAGAAGCTGTCGGAATCTGTGACGTCACAAAGAACTATAGCGCGAACTTCACGGTGGCGTCGCCGCCTGATTTTTGTTAGCGAGAAAAAAAAATCTTGGGCTTTACATTATAAACTTGCAACACGTGATTGCGAGACACGCTGTAGTGACGAATTCTGGGTGAATTTTGACCAAGTAAATTTGCTTGACGTGTACCCATCATGTGTGTAGACGGGTGTTTTTTTAAACTCCACCCGCATCGAATGCAGTCACCCTGATCGACAGTCGAGCTCGCGGCCTAAATTCCATAACAGCAAAGCTGTACGCATAGCGATAGTCTCGAGGAAAACCGCTATTGCGGTGAAATTCAAGTCGAAGGACAACGAAACGAACTGCGTGATGGAAAGTGTCTTCCGCGCAAACCCCTAACATCATGACACAGGCTGTACTGAAAACGTCGCGGAGCTCCATTCGTTACAACGTAGCAACTCGTATAACGAAGTAGTTTAAATATCCCGAGCAGTTCTTCGTAAGACGTTTGCGTGTACATGTGCAAATATGCATGTCTGTACGAGCGAAAAACAAAGGAGAAAATGCCGGCTTAAGAAAGTCACCGAGAGCGTTGTTTAGAGTTGGAGCTTGAAAAAAACTCCCAAGCATTTCCCCGAGGGTTAACATGGTTAAATGCGAATACACGGGGTGATGCTATGAGGGGTATTTATTAATTCGCACTATTATATTTATTAATCACACTATGGTGCCTTTATGATGTAATGGTTCCTGGGAATCGCAATTTGATCACACGGGGGAGTTTACGTTAACTCACTGGCGAATGCCAACGGATTTTAACTTTACTCCCCCTCATGACCCGCTCTCGACGGGAGACTGAGAGAGAAGGCGGGCGCGCGAGAGAGAGGGGTGCGCGCGCAGCTGCAGCGAGCGAGGAGAGCGGAGGAGCGAGCGAAGGGGGAGGGGGTATAAGGCGCGTTACTGACACCGATATCAGCGTCGCGTCCGTGGCTTATTCGGTAGAGCGTCGCACTGCGGCCCGCCAAGTCCTCTTTCTTTAAAAGATAGAGAGAAGACTGCGGACGCCGCCGACGGCGGTGGATGGTTTGGGGTCGCTTATAAAGTGTATTAACACTTAAAACACGGACGGGCTGCGCGATAAACGAAATATGATCAATGTTGACAGAATCGTGGCATTTATTAGCACGTTATACCTTCCTCTCTGGAGCAGCCGTACGTCAAACATTGCCGCGCGTTGCAGCAATGATTCATAATTCTTGGGAAACCTTTTGCATATTGAAATGGCTCGACCCATTCGTGTTCGCCTAAAACTTTTAATCACTTACGTTTCGCTATTCATGCACGATTGTTTCCGCACGGTGGAGGAAGAAAGAAACAAGCGGAAAGATAGGGAGGTTCTTAGACCGGGTGGCTACCGTGTGCTGGGGCAAGGATGGATAAAGAAGGATAGTAAATGGATGTTACAGGAAAAAGAAAAGCGACAAAAGAATAAAAGAAAAACAACGTGGCACTGTTCAACGTCTGTTTCTAAGACCAGTTGTCCGCAAGAAGGGCAATAATGCTTTAAAGCCTTCTGTGCTGAGAACGGACTCGGCGAATATTCCAGAAACCTTTGTAGCCGTCTGTTGCAATCACCTGAAATTGAATAAATGTCCGAAACAAATACGCATGCTTGACATATCTCGTTACTAAGTAAACAAAAAATTTGCTCATGAAGTTTCTTGCTCTGCAGTGCAACATGGATAAACCTGACCAGGCCACGAGATAGCTCGGTATATTAAGTTAGCAGGGATAAAAAAAGGAATCAGCCAGAACAAGATAAGGTTAATTGGAGATCATTGCAAAAATGCTTCCTTCATGCAGACATGAAAACAGGCTGAAAATGATGAAGATGATGATTTATTTCTATTCAAGAGATAAAGGCCCCAGGCAGTACGTTTCACTGCACGACGGCAAGTTTTTGTTAGTCTTCGCCGCGTCACACAACTGCATCGCAGTGAACATTTTTAGGTGAAAACCGGTGATTGAGGATTCGTTTCTGCTCTGAGCAAGAGCAATCGGTGTCCTGAGACACGCATTTGGATCCGTGGCGAGTGTCGTTGTTCATACTCGGGAATCCATTTCAGAAGGTCAGCCAGAACATTGTTATTTCACTATCAAGTGTGCTCAAAACAATGCGTGAAAACGTTAGGAGCCGCACTTGCAGAGGCTTAGTGCTCAGTACATCAAGTATGAAACTTAGACGGGTATAGAGGGAGCTAAAGGTACGCGTACAAGGCTATATTTGTAAACGGAAGTTCTAAGGGAAGGACGATTGTTTGATATATACGTCTGTTTCCATGCGTCTGAGCTCAGTCGTATAAATTGACGCACGCGCTAACGAGTGCGTGAATATTTGTAAGGCGTATATTTTTTGTTAATAATATCGGGTCTAAAATAATTCAGGAACGGTTAGTTCGAAGGTCCAGAGCGCGATGTTTGGGCGCCTAGATTAGCGGGGATATTTCACGTGGCCTAAATAACGTATCTGCGCACCCAAAAACAGAGAAGGCGCATTTAATATTGCGGGCTTGAAATATCCCAGCCCAATTTACAGCGAACTGTTCTTTCGCGCAATTTTCATTCGCTCATTTGCCTCTGTCACATGTCCTTTCAAGTATGTGACAAGGAATTATCACGATGATGGCGCGATTCATGTACGCACAATTTGACTTTGCTACAGCACATCGGTCATACTTAAGTCTTCTGTTTACAGTATACATCTCATTTCGCTGTTTGTAGCCAGTGAGTTCAGAAGGACTATCTAAAGAAACAAGTGTACAGTGTTTCCCTTTCCACTCTGATGCCGCGCTACACTTTGCTGGCATCGCACGCCCATTCAGAGTGTCTACGAGATCAAGTGCCCTTGAACAGCTGATGCTATACCAGCACAGAGTTGAGATATATCGGTGCAAAGCACCGGACAGTGCAAATCACTGGACTAGAGAAATTACACACAATTATGTGGCAAGCTAACGCTGGCCTTTATTACTTTTGTACTCAAATCCCTTGCTTAGCGAGTGCTTCTAGAATGCACTTCCCGCAAAATTGCGAAGTCCTCCCTCCCTCCCCGCATCCCGATCACGCACTGCGTCTATGCAACGCCGGCGATCTTGAATCGCATCCAATGCTACTTAATAAACAGACCTCTGAGCACTTCTAAACTATCGGGGAAAAATTTTAAGAGCAATTGGTTCATGACGGGTGAACAGAAATGATCACTATGAAACGGCACACGCTCTTTTCGACCTTTTTGCTACATATGCGCCGATTCGTGCGGTGTGGGATCTAGCAACTCTGAAATGAGCGAGAGGATGAGTACAGTGAGAGAGAAAGCGAGAGAGAAATTCTTGGCGAGGCGGGATTCCAACCC